TATAATAAGGGTCCTACTATTGGCGCACTATATTAGAGTCCCCTATTTTCGGAAACCCCCAATTGCAAAAATCCAAAACTAGCCGAAGCAAGCACCCAGAATACCACACGTCCCCCAAAATCCCAAACCTTAAGGACCTGACACCTTAGTTGCGAACCTAAACCAAAATCCCAAGATTGCCCCAAGTCTAAACCCTAGACCAAGAATCCTAAGAACGCCCCAACGCTTCTCAGGTCATGAGCGGGTTCAGCGCCAGCAGCCCGGATGAGGCATGGGGTTTTAAGTTTCGGGGGATTTGGGTTTGGGGTAAGGGTTTAGGGTTAAGGGTTTAGGGATCTCGGGAAAAGGGTTTGGGTTAAGGGTTGTGACAAAGGTTTAGGGTCGGGGGGTTTAGGGTTCAGGGGTTTAGGGTTTGGGTGTTTAGGATTTAAGGTTTAAGGGCCGCATCTTGGTCGGAAGAGCTCGTAATCATATTCCCGTCGCACCAATTGCTAACAGGATAAAGGCTTGCTAGGCCTCTCGTAGAGCCGCAGGGGCTGAGTATAACGTCTTGTGGATGTTTTGGAGGGTTCATACCCTCAGACTCCAAGTATACAAACAGACAGTACCTACTTTGGGATCTAAAGTCTATAAATAGTACCTACTTTGGGCTATTTGGAGTCGTAGGGATACCGTTTAGGAATAGTTAGTACCGTCGGAGCATTGGGTTGAAGGATAGGGCCTGGGGGCTTGAATAGATTGGTGACAGCAACCCGTTTAGTCCCTACTTCTTCATGCCCCGTTGCATGCCAGTACTGTACAACATACACCCAAACCCCTGATGAAAGTTTTTGACCCTGCTCAACTGGGGTTTACGGCCTTGGGGTTGAGGACGCGGGCCCAGAGCAATGGGGTGGGGTTACAGGCAGTAAATGCACAGCATTCGTCTCGGCGTAGGAGTCCATTACCAAGCGATAAAGATTTAGGAGCCAGGATTCAGGAGCTGATTGCTGAATAATTATGTCAGGTACCAGGAGCTCAAGGATTCGAATTGATGTGCAGTTGTCGCTGTCATATATTTCTGTTCCTAAGCCGACCGCAGACCCCTTGCACGACACAGCCAACCTCCGCTCTGTCAAAACCTCATTTGCAACTACGAGCAATTACCAAGCCCGCATTAAGCTTGTTCATGGGTAGTTATAAGTACAGTTATAGTTACCCTACTTGTAACCCTACTTATAACTACCCCTGGACCTCCAAGTAAGTCGTGGCCAAGCCCAACCCTGAACCATGCAGCTATATTGGACCACGGGTAGCAGGAAGCATCACTGCTACTGCCATGACATTACTCTGCGAGATGATGACGATGATGATGATGATGAGTGGTGCTGTTCTTTGCGCCACCACGGAAACAAACCCTAAGCACCCTAAACCCTCAGATTAGACCCTAGACTCCACAAGCACTACAATGAGACTGCTTCAAGGACCCTGATTTAAAGCAACATACTTTCGGATCTTTCTTTCCAGAATTACCAAACTTATGCTATACACTGCTAGAGCGTCGGCGCAACATTCTACATCTTACGGAAAGCGAACACGAACTTTTATATGTGGGATGCTGCATGCATAATTCGGTGTGTATTGTATGCATGTACACATGCATCTCTGTGCGCATGCATTAGGTAGATAGGTATCAATATAGATAGAGGCATAGATACATTGGACACAGACCTCACCCTCAAAGACTTGAAGCAAGCTTGCCTTGAAAGCCGTTCATTGGCCAGGCGGCGCTGTGCTACGGGGCAATGCATTTCGGTGGCTTGACTGCATGGTTTTGTGAGTGCGGGCTGATCGGCTTGGGGGTTTGTAGGCTCGGGCTTTACCCAGACCTCCCCGAAGGTATCTAGACGACTTCGTCGGAGGATTTGCGGTGTAATAAGCGTATATGTAAGATGCATTAAGCGCACATAATCGGGGTTTAGGGGTTATGGTGTCAGGTCCATGAGGGCTTAGGGCTAGATAGCAAAAGCGGTCTGGTCTCCCGTGGTCTCCTCCACAGTGTAAGCAGAGGTGCGTCCCCGATACTCCAGCGATCTTACAATGTAGGAACCAGATTCAGAAACCCAACAAAGACCAAGGGTTGCTTTCCAGGTTCGGCTTCCAGTGTCGGGGCTTAAAGGCTTAAAGTTTGGAGTATTGGGTTGGGGCTGAGGTTGAAGGACTAGGATGTCGAACCCCCTTCTAAGACCCAATATCTACACTTGACAGTATCTACACTTGAGGGTGCAGTGTCCAAAACAGAGAACCCAAACATTCAGATCCGTTATGAAGCCCCATAACCCCTCTTGAAGCATCCTCAAGAAATACTCGTTTCACACATGGAATGCGCCCAAGAGCAAGGTCCAGCTTTTACAGAGCTTCGGCCAAGAACTCCCCGAGAAATTCTGAAAGCCGTATGAAGACTTATAAAATCCTATAACCGTCAACCCTACATCCGATTGAGCCCAAAGGGTTTAGGGCCATGGTTTAAATGTTCCTGTGCTGGCTTTGGGTTTTGCGGGTTCCTTTGAGGTCGGGCTTTAAGGGTTCCTTTGAGGGTTAACTTTTGAAGATGTTTAGGGTTTAGGGTTGTAAGTGCTCCCCTCAGGCTTTAGGGTTTTGAGGCTTCCTTTAATTGTTCCGGGTTTAGGGGTTTACGGGCTGATTTAAGGGTTTAGGGTCTGCCCATAGGGCCCCATGGTAGTTCCTCTTTGGATGACCCTGTAGGATTCTACATATGAACCCCAAAAAGGAACTACTAGGGTATTAAGGCCGCTATACTATACTATAGACCCCTACTATAGATCCCTTATAGACCCCTTTAAGGAGCCCTTTACCAGAACTCCCAAAAGGAACTACTAAGGGGCCTATGGGTAAACCAACCCTAAACCCTGAATTCGAAACCCTAAACCCTACACCCTAAATTCGAAACCTTAAGTCCCAAACCCTAAATTCGAAACCCTAAATTCTGAACCCTAGACCCTAAACTCCTAACCTAAACAACTATGGGGCTTATGGGTAAACCAACCCTAAACCCTAAACTCGAAACCTTAAATTCTAAACCCTAAACTCGAAACCTTAAACTCTAAACCCTAAACTCGAAACCTTAAATTCTAAGCCCTAAACCCTAAACTGGGTCTAAAGGGAACTCCAGAAAGTTGGAATATGGATTAATGGTAGGATCCCCTATAATTTACCTCAAACGGGTTACGATAATGACATTCCAACTTTCTGGCTTCTACTGGTAAACCAACCCTAAACCCTAAACTCGAAACCTTAAATTCTAAGCCCTAAACCCTAAACCGGGTCCGCAAAAAAAAAAAAAAAAAAAAAAAAAAACGGGTGGAGGAGTCGAGGGTTCGGCTCTGATCCCAAATCTAAGGCTTCACCTTCCTCGGAAGAGACTCCTCAGGCCGGCAGCATGGGGCTGGGTTTCGGGTTTACCTACCCTTTTGGGTTTAGGGTTTAGGGTTTCGGGTTTACCTAGAGGGTCATACCCTACCCCTTTTTTGGGGTACCTAGTTATGGTTAGGGTCTACTATATAGAAAAGTATGTACCTTAAAAACAGCGGTAGGGTATGAGCCTACAGGTAGTGTTTGGTAGGCTTATAGAGTTTAGGGTTATGGTTAAGGGTTTAGTGTTTCCAGGCTTGTAGAGTGTAGGGCCTATAGAGTTTAGGAATAAGGTTAAGGGTTGAGTGTTTCTAGGCTTGTGGAGTTGAGGGCCTATGGAGTTTAGGGTTGAGGTTAAGGGTTTAGGGTTCGGAGGGCGTTTGGAACAATTCACTATGGAGGGTCTCATGGCCCAACCCCGCAGCTGCAAAGGAAGCAGGGTATGTCTCTCTAGTATCCGTGGAATAGCACCTGAAATACAAACTCACCAATGATACCTATAGACGCTCATCAAGCTCTTCACTATAAACTCTGCCCCATAGCCTAACGGCAGTGCAGTAGGCTTTCCAGGGTTCTCTCGTCGTGCCCTACCTTTGTTTGAATATGCTTTGCTTATGGCTTGCGATTTTTCACCGTGGCGAAATTCGGTTTGTTGGGAGTACGACTGCTGTTGTTGCTGTGTCGAATTGTCTACACTTGCATAATATGTTATGAAAGCTACACATTTCTGCAGCTCTATCCACTAGCCGCACCGTCTTTCGTTTCTGTCACCATCACTACGTAAGAATGCCATCAACTGTATTTGCATGATCGTTACCCATCGCACTGTTTCGTTTTTCTTTGCAGTATGAACGGACAGCAGTCGTGACATTATATATATTATACTACTGCCGTGTGCAGTGAAGCTGGCAGGTGTTGCGATTGGTCTGACAGCAACTGTTACGAAGATGAGTACACATGCAATTTGAGAACATGGCTGTTATTGTCAAGATTGTTATGGTTCTTGCTACGGTTGCCAATAAGCCGCCTTTCCACAATTAATTACCGTACTCGAGATGGCTGTGGTTGCTAATAGCATGCTCGTGCCTCTACTGCAACGGCAGCATTGGAATCCTCATGCTCGATATTCCTATCATAGCTACTGCCGGCGCGCTTAGCACTGGCGAGTCTTAGCAATAGCGCAATGGTTGGAATAGTCTGATGAGCATGCATGCAAGAGGATGGCAGATAGACTTTCCCCACATAGATTCCAGCATGATCGCGCCTGCTTCTTTCTGCCTAATTTAGGACCTTCGCAGAATGTTGGGCCCGCCCGGTGGCATGAGCAACTGAAGTGGCATGAATGGTGTTGCCAGCAATGTTGGATCGACCTTCGTAGATGCTTCCACTCTTTCTTCCTCCGACGTCATGTTCAATAGTGTTTGCCAGAATCCTGAGCGAAACATTGCTAAGAAGCGAGATTGCAGAATCAACCCGCCATCATCGCATCAGCAGCAAACGAAACTAGAACTCTTCTCGTTGCCGAGTAGCAAGGAAGTCGTGCGTTGAGTGGTAACGGTAAGAGTAGCCGTAGTAGCATCCCAGCCTCCATGAACCAAGCTCTACGTGACGACCTGCAAGCGCTTGCTGTTTCCGATGAGGGCCTGCTCGCTGATGCGGTCCTGCGAGGGAGGAATGGCGATGTTAATGCCCACTTGGCTTTACTGGAGGTGCGATGTCCGCAACTCGCCGAGAAGGCAGTGAAGGAGCCAGGTGAGTGGTTGTCAAAATTATAGTCCCTTTTTGGGTCCCTAATATAACACGGCACCTACCATGTAGGGTACCAAAAAAGGGACCCCTATATTGACAACTACCCAGGTGGATCCCTTTGGACTATCGCCCTGCCAGATGCAAGCGTAGACGCACTCCGGGACCTGCTGCTCTACCTCTACACGGACGGCCTCCCTCCATCTTTCAGCGAGAACCCGACACGGGTCTTGGATTTGCTGACGGTGGCAGCAAGCTTGGTGAGCCGGGGTTCTCCGCATGCAGTTTCAGAAAGCAGGAATAAGAGGATCAGGTTAGAAGACAGCCCATGCGAGATGAGACGCTTGTGGACTTTATGCGAACAGTATATGTGCGAGTCTATGACAGAACAGACCGTGGTGGAAGTGCTACAAGCTGCCCTCAGGATTGGCTCGCAGAGTCTCGAAGACGGTGTGTATAAGTTCCTGAAGGAGCGAGGAAGTGGCTTGATCAAGTCCGTGCCTTTCAACCAGTCTCTGGTGACTGCTTTGAGCAATGAGCATCCAGAAGCTATAGCACGTGCAATTTCTGCAGCGGCTGGCACCGCAGTCCAAGTTCTGCCAAGCAATGCTTCGCAGCTCACTGCTGTGCCACCTTCGAAGTTGCTGCAGCATCTCGGCGCGCTCTTCGAATCCAGTCGCGACGCGGATGGCACACCGCTGGACCTCGACTCGAGAATCGACTGCCGGATCTGTTGGGGAGAGCTGGTGACATCTCAGTTGGCTGCGCACCGATGCGTCCTTGCGGCACGGTCTGCCTATTTTGCACGAATGCTGTCGGCTCCCATGCGGGAAAGCTCCAGCGGAAAAGTACCCATCACACTTCCAGTTGGCCCAAGTTCTGCTGCAGTCAAGGCTTTCCTTTGGTACTTGTATATGGGCTCATTCCCAGAAGAAGTGGACGGCCAACCGTTGACCACATGCGATTGGGTTGACGTGCTGTCCATCGCGGATGGGCCAGGTGGCTGCAACTTCCTTCAGCTGTCCGACAAGGCTCACTCCGAAGTGCGTGAACTGGCAATGGCGAGCCTTGCAGCCCAACAGCAGGGTGATGGCTCAATGATGTTCCTGCGCAGATCGATGGCCCAGAAGTGTGTTCATGCGCAGCCTCTTGCTTTCAATGCAGCCTTGCAGACGTGTGCGGCCGAGCATCACGACCTGAAGTCTTTCAAAGCTTGCTTCCACATGGCAGCGAAAGAAGAGTGGTGGACGCCCGCAATGGAGCAGGAACTGTTAGTGGAACTTCTTTGGCGACGATGCGCTACCCCGACCGAATCCCAGTCAAAGACTGAGACGAAGGCCCGGTGGCACTGCTTTGATGCGTCAGTCCCCCAGCTCTCGTTTCCTAGTCAAGTACACATTTGCCAAACGCAGCCCTGCCAGGCACAACTGCTCGCACGCCGGAGAATCGAGTACGATTTCGTCTCGAAGAATGACACCAGAAGAAGCGAGGTCAACACTGCTTTAAACTTTAAACTTGCTTTTAGGCGTCGAGAGTCCTTGTGTACATCGCTTGTGGTCTTGCATTGCTCTGGAGGAGTACTTCCTGATCTGCACGCATTGGCTTGACTCCTGGAAAGCCTTCATCAGGGGACGTAATCCGTGGATGATGCCTCCTGGTCCGATAAGCAACAACCGCTTGATGGATGCTTTCGGAAACCCTCTACCGGACAAGCAGGAGATTCGTGACTATCGCGGGCTCAACCGTGCTGTGTGGGAATATTTGCACTCCCGGTATGGCGGTGGTCCGGAGATCAAGCGCAACAGGTTGAACTTGTATAAACCTGACTCTCTCACTGTTTTTGCGACCAGATGAAGAAAATGTCCCCCACTATCCCGGCGCATTGTCCGAAGACTCAGCATCCGGAGATAGATGAAGTGATGAGATACCCGGACATGTAGAGCCCAGATTGAGAAACTCCCTCTGTTTAGGGGCCATATATCCGGATACCTATTAGAATCCGTTTTCAAGGCAGGAGGTTCATTAGTCAACGGTTTACGTTATGCTCTAGCAGTTCTCAGCCACCTGCCCAGCATCCCAAGATCTTCAACATGTCCGACAACTAGCTCACACGATCTAAAAGGATCTTGTTTCCAGTAGGGCTGTGGAAGCTGAATTCCCATGAACTGAAATCCTAAACCTTAGACCTCAAACCGTAAACCGTGGTACTAAATGGGAACCCGAAGATGAAGTTAAATCCCTAGCAGTGACCCACAGAATGGTGGCACATGGATTAAGGATGACAAGTGCGATCAGTGCCAAGATTTCCTGGCAGAGTGTATTCAGAGTCATGATGTACCGGCTCTTCATTATAATCACAGTATGATATACCACAAAACCCAATTCTAATGACTGTATTAAGGCTTCCATATCACTGCAGGCCACAAACTCTAGATTTATACACCAAGGCTCCGCATCCTTAATACCGGATCAGTCTATATTGAGTCATTAAAGATTAGGATAGGGTTTTGGGGCCCAAGATACTATTATTATAATAAGGAACCCCCAGTATAGATAATTAGTTAGGCCCCAAAATTGAATCCCCCCAGACCTTCTCCCCCACTATAAGCTTAGAGTAAAGCTGTAAGTCCAGAAGCCACGTCTAGGCCTTGCCGGCGCCGTATGAATCCAACCCCCAACAAACTGCAAATCCGAACCCCGTGCATCTATCTGAACCCCTGATCCCTAAACCCTGAGTGTAAAAAAAAACCTTGAGCCTCAGCCCCAAACTAGAGGACCCTGAACCGTGCTGAATACTGCATGCTGGGGTCCACTAAGATTTCAGAGCCGCAGGCTTGCCACCCAAAGCAGAAGTTGCTGTGAAGATGAGAAGTTGAACATGGTTTAGCGTTCAGGTTTTTTCAGGTGTTAGGGCTTAGGGCTGAGGGTTCAGTGTTCACGGCTTTAGGGTTCGTAGACTGTTGGTCCACTGGTAGGATGGCCTAGGTATCCGGGCTTAAACGTAAACGGCTTTCTGCGCATAAACAATGGAATTGACTTTTTGAGTTTCGGGTCCGCGTGAGCATCCCGCGGCAACCAAAGCCCAACACCGGCTGCAAGCAGCAAGCCTACATCCCTTTCAGCCTTCGCCCGAAGACCTCAACCCTGACCCTAATCCTCCTCAGTAGCACCGATGCTTCAGGAACATGAAGCTATTGCACTCTGCGAGCAGGTTGATTTCTGCTCTGAACCCGGGCATAAAATCGCACGCCGTTCCAGATCGAGTCCCGTGGTGCCATAAGGCCGTAAAACAAGGCCCAAGATCCAGCTGGGAGTTCTTGCATGTTTGAGCCAAAGCTACACCGAAAAGTCATCAACCTGAAGCAGCTAAGCACGGGTTGTTGCTTTGATGGTTCGGACTTGTGATTTTCAAAGCAAACGTTCGACAGTTGGATTTGAAGCCAGACACCCAAAGTCCCAACTCGAGGGTGCACCCTAAGCCCTGAGCCCTCAAACCTGAGCCATATAGGCCCTACCCATAGGCTCCATAGTAGTTCCTGTTTGGGATGACCTTACAGGATTCTAAATATGAACCCAAAAAGGAACTACTGTGGAGCCTAATAAACCTTTCCGAAGGTGTCCAGGTGAAGCTGGATGACGGGACCATCATCAAGGCAGGGCCGTGCAGTGCTAAGTTTCTGGGGTTTTTAGGGTTTAGGAGTCAGGGTTTGCGGCAACCTGTGGATGACGGCCACGATGTCAAGACTGGTGCAGTTCAGCGCGAGTAATGACCATGGGTATTAAATCGACTACGAGCTGGATTGATTTGTCTTACCATCATCCGTCTTGATGCCATAGTTGCTTGTTTCTGGTGCTTCTACATCTACCACACCGACGACCACAACCACAACCACGACCAACACCACCGACCTGAGTCTAATTATCAAGACCCCCTACACGGGCCAAGGCCCCGGCTAGTAGGTTGGGGTTTAGTGTTTACGGTTCCTTTACGAGGGAACTATACTCATTGATGTACCGGTTTAGCCAGGGATTTGCTTAAAAGGTTTGAGTTCACAGTTGCAGTAACTAGTTTCAGTTTTCCATCACGGCGTTGTATACATTTGTTCAAGCATTCTACCTTGATGTACCCTCCTAGCAAAACATTCAAGAACACCGTAAACCATGCAGACGAAAACCCGGTTGGAGGTTTACGGCTTCCCCTCATCCCAATTTGGATACTCAAGAGTAGTAAGCAAGTTCTTGATGAAGTATTGTGATACTTGCCACTTGTGATTCGACAACAACCAACTTACCAAGTCCGCCTGATGCTTCAATATGTAAACCCACAAATACCCCTGAACGCCTCACAACCCGATAGGATCAAAACCGCAAGACCCTAAGCCTTCAAGCATCTTACAGGACTCTGTAGCACCGTACAAACCCCGCTACAAAGCCTCTGCGTACTACTTCCCATCATAGAAGGGAGACTTTAGCCTTCTATGGGCATCATACACCTCAGTAATTTTGCAGGCGAAGCTACCAAGCTGCTTTCGCAAGCCGGGCAAGTAAGCATTCGGAGGTGGAGATCTTGGCAACCATCAAGTTCAACTCCACTCGAAAGCGTTCGTCGGTCATCGCCAGGTACAAGGAGCCGACACTGGAGGTTAATGGGTTGTTTTAGGTTTTTTTGTTGGTTGAGGGTTTTGGGTTCCAGACGGATTCCGTTCAGATATTCCGTTTGGGCATCTCAGGCTTACCATCAGGATCCAAGATGAGGTTCGGTCTTCCGTAGTTGGCTTGGTTTTCGGCCATTGCTTTGCGATCCGGCTTCAAACCGCTATAGTACCCCGCATCCGAAACCCGTAAGCCTAAACTTTAAACCCTGCAGCGGGAGACGCTCGCAGTAAGGCAAGCTGCTTCCTAACTCCAAACCCACCGCTCGAAATCTATACCCCAAACCCTAAACCCTCAGCCAAGAATTCCTTCTAGAATCATGCGTTCTTCGAAAAGCCTTCTGACTCCGAGTACCGTCGCCGGACCCCCGACTTTGAGGCACCGACTGCAAACGCGCCACCGCATCTGAAAAGATTAAGATTGACCCATAATCTTAAACCCTAACCTAGACCCCCCAAAGGAGGTAAAGTAATGGCCCAAAACCTATAAAAGGCTATTGTTCTATATGCATACTTTTGGGTCCAGGAAAGCTCCTGAGGTCGACTTCCTGAGCAGCAAGCCCTGCACTGCCCTACACACCCTGGAACCTAGGCCCAACACACCAAGAAGCGTCGAAGCCTTCAACCAGCTCCAGAATTGAAGTATTTAACCTAGCCTCAGGCCACTCCTGTTGGGCTCAGAAAGCAGAAAACCTCAAAATCCTAGACCCCAAACACCCTAACACTCTTGCAGGAGCCTTCGGGCGCTGAGCGGCTGGTTCTCTTCTGCAAGGGCGCCGACTCGGCAAGCCCCTCAAAGGGTTTAGTTTCAGTTGTTCAGGGGTTTACCTTAAAGGAGTGCTATATATGTAATGCATCGAGGTTACTTTCAGGTGGGTTCTAGAAAGGTCACCAAGCGGGCTCCTATACGGGTCAGCTTATGTGTGTGTGTGTGTTATGCGTGTTGTAAGGGCTTTGTGTAGCTTGCCTTCGTTCCTAGGGGCTGGGCTTTGGCTCTAGTATGAAATTCAAGGAACGTTTGTGCTTTGTGGTTCTTGAGGATCATATTGACAAGACGCGTTTCTTTAACGCTGCAATAGGGGAGCGTTATACTCCAATACACCCTCCCACAGCAGATTCTCACTATTGACGCCCCCTTGAAGCAACTAAAGCCCTTGTTATCAAAGCCTTGTAGACTGCTAGCTTGAAAGAAGCCTTTTCCAGAAACCCCTCTTTCAGGCCCCTATGCAAAGGCATCAAGAGCTGTTTTCATCGAAGTCTCGTAGACCCAGATAAAGAAGCCGCTGTTGGGTGCTGCCCCCACTCAGCAACAGTTGGATAATACTCATAATAGAGATATTGTATTAGGACCTTACTAGTAGCCCTACTATTACTATAGACTGTTACCCAGCGGGTTCATGGAACCCCTTCTCCAGTTGTTTAGCCTGTAAGTCCCCTAAGTACGGTTCTCCTACTTGTAACCCTAAACCCTACACCCCCCTCTTACCTTATGTAACCTTACTTACCAAGTCCCATGGGCCTTTACATGGGGGTTTGTTGTGGGGCTTTCAGTGTGTTTTTTGGCTGTGTTCGATCTCAATGGGCTTTGGTAGGGATGCTAGTGCGGAGTTTTGGCTGGTTAGGTCTTCGTCGGTTTCAGGAGTTTGAAGGTTCTCTTGGTGTGCAGCACTATTATGGCTTGTGCAGGCTGTTTGCTTTTCGGAGGCTTATGATGTTGGGGGGTTTGGGGGATAAGGGAAGGGATTTTCCTCACTTTTTCTTTTTCCCGCAGGGCTTTGCGCGGACTCCCAGGCTGCGCAGCCAAAGAAGCCCCAAACGCTGGACCACAAGCCTTTAAGCCTACTTAAAGGATCATGGGACTTAGTAACTAGGGTTATATTCAGGGTAACTATACTTATAATTACTTATAACCCTAATTAGGGTACTTATAACCTTACTTACTAAGTCCCATGATCCTCCAAGTAACCCCTAAACCGTGAGCACAAATAGACTCGAAACCTTCGGGGGTTTAGGGCTGGGGCTTAGGGGTTTTCTTCAGAGTTTTCGGAAACCCCTAAGACACAAAACCCTGTGTAAATACCCTAAACCCCTAAACCCGAAATACCCTAAATTCCCTGAATACCTTACACCCCTAAACCCTATACACCCTAGTGCGGCTTCTTTTTTTCGCCCAGATCATTATGGACCGCATGGCGCCGGAGC